ACCTGCCAGCTCTACAACATCCGGCCTCACTACAGATCTATCCACCATCCACAGTGATCCTGCTTCAACTCCCAGGACAGAGTCGCCTGCTGGCTCGACCACATCAGGCTCTGCGACAGAATCAAGCCCCATACAGAGCAATCCAGCTTCCACTCACACTACACAGTCTCCAGCCAGCTCTACAACCTCACGCCTCACAACTCACAGGACCCCATCTTCTGCTATCCCTACATCATCTGCCTTGGCTGGGGAATCATCCACCTTGCATCCCGTTCATGATTCAACTTTCAGCACAGGCTCTCTTGCCACGTCTAGAACATCTGTCCTCTCTACAGGATCATTTACCCTGCATACCTTGCATGGTTCAAGTCATAGTAGTGAATCTCCTGGCTCTTCTACAACATCGGGACTCAGTATAGGATCAACAGCCTTTGATAGAAGCCCAGGTACACATCAAACAATCGTTTCTCCTGTTTTTTCTACATCCTTCTTTAGCAGTCCAGCTTCAGCTCAGAGAACAGCTTCACATGTCAGCTCATTTTCACCAGGATTTGGTATGTATATATTTTTTATTTTGCTCTTTTTTTCTCAAGCTTGCTCTTGTCCTGTTGCCCGATTTAGAGTGCGGTAGCATGATCATTGCTTACAGCATTCTCAATCTCCTGGGCTTGAGCAATATTCCTTCCTTAGCCCTCTAAGTAACTGAGACGAGAAGTCATTGCCACCATGCAAATCTAATTTTTTTACTCTTATTAAATATGGGGTCAGTCTGGTCTCAAAGGCCTGCAATTCTTCTGCCTCGGCCTCTTAATCTTGGTATCTATTGTTTCCTTATTTTCAACTATGTCTCCTGTTCTTTTCACTATTCCCTGGGGATGAGATTGCCATCTGCAGGGTCTTATTGCTGCATCTTCATTTGGTACTTTCCTCTGCTCTGTTCAACACTGAATAATGGGTCCTAGAAATACAGCTAATATTCTTGTTGTTTGGGTGTCCGTGGTGACTGCTGTGAATTCTGTATCTCCACAGAGCAGTGCCAAGATGGAAAAGTTTGGAATGGAATACAGTGTGTCTGTCCCCAAGGCTACTTTGGTCACCAGTGCCTGACCCCATTGGAATACTTCCACATAGGTAATGACCCTCTTTGAGACCTACATCTCTTCCCAGGCCCACTGATCATTTAAAATAGGATGTCAGTGTTGGAAGGATCAGCCACTCACATGGCCTTCCTGTATAAGTGGAAGAGATGATGTGACTTGCCTTAAGTGACAACACAGGTAAAATGTGGACCTTTTGCCTCCACTTTCAGGGCTCACCTTCCCCTGTCATCAGGGGGCTTCTGTCCCTACCCAATCTAGAGCCTTGCACTTAGTTCTCACTCTCTGTCCTGGCCACTGGCTCCTCATCACTTGAGAGACAAGGGACAGAAGTCTCAGAGACCCCCATCATCCTCTTGAGTTGCATTCTCTCTCCTACCTACTTCCTTCATCTCCAAGACACCAACAGGAAAAGAATTTATTAATCCTGGGCTATATTAATGGGAGGTGGCTGTGTCATGCCCAGTGTGACCTTTCCCCACAGAGGTTCCGGGAAAAATCAACGCCACTTTAGGCGTGATCGTGAAAGTGACTTACAGGATTTTCACAGAAGATCTGAATAACACAGCTTCTCAGGCGTACTTGAATTTTGTTGAACTATTCAAGAAAGAGGTAAGAGTGAGCAATGCCCAAACTCCCCGACGTGACCCTGTGAAAGGGAATGTAGTGGCTTATCCTGACTTACTGTTGTGAGCTCCTCAGCTCTTGGGGCCCCTCAGTCTCCCTAAGTTGGGGAGTGTCCATCCTTGAGCCCCACGCACCCACCCACATCCCAGCAGAGAAAGCTTCCTATGGGTTCACACATGGGCTGCATAGAGAAGAGCCTCAAGCTGCTCCAAGATGGGGGACAGGGGCCTTGGCATGCTCCAGCTCTGCATGAGCTGAGCCACCTGGTTTTTTTCAGATGGATAAAGTTTACTCGGGCAATGACCTTCCCCAATATGGAGGTGTCATCATTAAAGAACTTCTGTGAGTACATGGTGGGGGGCAGGTGTATAAATGGCAACCCCCTCTCTGTCTCTGCTCTCCTGCCTCTTCTTATTATAAATGACTGGGCCAGAGAGGCCTCCAGCTTCTAGGCAATACCTGAAAACCCTAAGATCATTCACTCATCATTTAGCCACTTGGCAAACATTATTAAAGACTATTCCTCTGCTAGATGCTGGGAACACAGTAGTCCCCACCTTCTGAGTTCAGAGTGGCAGAACACAGATCACAAAGTGGCTATGCAGTCTGGTTAGAGTTATGGTGAGGGACACACAGGCAGGAGGAGGACTCCTGAAAGGAAGTATGGTGAGGTGGAGGGAACTCTTCCCAGAAGTGATAAGTAAGCTGAAGCTTGAAGGATGAGGAAAAATGTGCCAGGGAGAGGGAAGGCAGGGAGAGAAATTATAGCAGAAGGGATAGGTGAAGAGGAGCCCAGAGGTGAGAGAGAGGAGGGAAGATTCCAGAAAGCTACAGATGCTCATAGCAGACAACAGCTTGAGGGCAAAGGGATGGTGATGGCAAGAAGAAAGGAAAGATGGTTCTTGCCAAGTTAGACAAGTTAGGCATTAATGTGTAGCCCATGGTTTAGGGACAGCATCTGATTTTCAGTGCAGACGGCTCAGTCTGGCTGCAGGGTAGAGAGTGTGTGGGTAGGGCCTACACTGGAGATGATGGCGTTCAGGCCAGAGAGGGGAAAATGCAGGGGAAGAGAGGCCTAGTGTGAAAACTCTTTAAGCAGCAGGAACAGCAGACCATGGGAGTTTGTGTAGGGGAGGAGAGAGGTGGAGCAAAGGCAGATTTCTGGGCTGCTGGAGACATGGGGTGCCTTGTGCACGGCAGAAAGATGTCAAGAAGCATAGGATGAGGATGGGTAGGAGATACCAACCTTGGTATAGGCTGTGCCAAGCTCCAAGTGCCTGGGACCCTTCATGTGGAGGATGTGCTTTGAGGATCTCAGGGGGAGACACAGGCATTGGTATCCTGATGGGTGGATCCAGAAACCCTAGAATGGACGAGATGGGGTCCAAAACCCTAGTCATGGCACGAGAATGACAATCTCCCAGGAAAGGAGCTGGAAGGTACCAGAATCAGGGCTAGGCAGGGCCTTAGTGTAGAGAGGAAAGAGGCAGACAGGGGAGAAGGGGATTCTGAGGGTGTCGCATCCCAGCAGCAGGGAAGAGTTTCAGGAAGGAGTCTCCACACTGCCAAGGGCCCCTTGGAAAGTGGCTCCAGAGCTTGATGTCCTCAGTCCCAACCTAACCCCATGCTCAGCACCAGCAGACTGGTCTCCATCTCCATTTGGCTCAGAATTTTGTTGGTTTAAGTCCTCCTGAGTCCTGCTGTTAACTTCTTTTTGGAAATAATGGTGACAGGTGACTTGCCTTGTCTCAAGACTTCTCTCTTCCATAGTGACAGTGGCTGTCTGACAAGAAACTTCTGGGTTGGAATCCTGTTTCTAATGTGACCTCACATTTCTTCATTTTTAAAAGCTTGCTTCTTTGCTTTATAAAGTATAATCCCAGTGCTTCTTTTTTTTTCATTTATTTTTTTTTATTGTGGTAAAATACCCATAGCATAAAATTTACCGTGTCAATCAATTTTAACTGCACAGTTCGATGGCATTAAGTGCATGTAACTATCACCACCATTCATCTCCAAAATTTTTCATCTTTCAAAGCTGAAAGTTGGTCCCCCTTAAACACTAACAGTCCATCACCCGCTCTGCCAGCCCCTACACCCACCATTCTACTCTGTCTTTATGAATGTGATTCCTCTAGGGACCTTCTATAAGTGGAATCAAACAGTATATTTGTTCTTTTACATTTACCATAATGTCCTCAATGCTGTGATGTGTCAGAATTTGCTTCCTTTTTGAGGCTGAATAATATTCCAGTGTATGGATAGGCCACATGTGTTTATCCATTGGGTTGATGGACACTTGGTTTGCTGTCACCTTTCAGTGATGGTGAACAATGCTGCTGTGAAAGTGGGTGTGCAAATATCTCTTTGAGACCCTACCTTCAATTCTTTTATTCAAAAGTAGAAGTGATTGATCATATGGTAATTCTACTTTTAACTTTTGGGGGTACCTACACACTATTTTCCACAGTGGCTGCCCCATTTTGCATTCCCACCAACAGGGCACAAGGGTTCCAATTTCTCTACATCCTCACCCAAGATCCTTTGATTTTACAGAAATGAGTGTCACCAGTTGGGATTTATTGTGGTCACTGATATTTAGGATCTTAAATTGTCTGGTTCTACTGACTTCCTTGGGGTTATTAGGTTATTAGTGGGTGTGCAAATATCTCTTTGGGTTAGACTCCAGAGAGGGTCTGGAGTCTTTCCTATATCTGGGTCATGTGGCTGCATTGTCTCCAATCTCCCGCCCCGACCCTTGCTGCGTGGGCTTCACTCATGGGTGACATGGAGTGACTGACTGAACAATTCCCTCCTCCAGCAAAGGCAGCATCGTGGTGAAATACGACATCCTCCTGGAAATGAACTACACTGCCGAGTATTGGGAACGCTTTGCGGACCTCACTGAGATTGTAACAGCCAAGACTAGGAATGAAACCAAAAAATTTCCTGAGGACCCCGCCTTGTGCTATGGTAGGCCCACCTGAAATCCCTGACATGGGCAGAAAAGGAAGTCTTGGCCTCCCCTTCCTCTGTCTTTTCTTTCTTCTGGAACACCTGAGACATTGCTGGAGGAATCCCGAAACCAAGGCCAAGAACTTCCCCACATCCTGCACTGTCCTAGTCTCAGGCTTAGGTTGTCACTAACCTTCATGTCCCTAGGCGAGCCTAGGCCTAGTCATGTCTAGGTGGGCCAAGACCCCACTGGTGCTGGCCCAGGGGAGGGTGTGGGATGGGAGGCAGAGGAACATTTTTGCTGTTTCCTTCCTGCTCACCCCTTGGCAGACTCTATCCTGTGCTACAGTGAGGTAGCCACCTTCGTGGACAAGACCGTGAAGCTGGGCTTTGACTTCCAAGGTAAGCAGCCACAGGGAGTGTGGGTGGGGACCATGGGGGCTGGAGTGCTTGGTCCAGGCTGATGCTCACTGCCACTCCTCACCCCAGAGCAATGCACCCAGAAGGCTGCCAAGGAATTCGCACAGTTCTACTATGTGGACATTCTGGATGGGCAACAGGCCTGTGTGACCAAGTGTACCCAGGGGACCAAGTCACAATTGGACTGTCATGGAGGCATGTGCCAGCTGCAGCGCAGTGGCCCCCGCTGCCTGTGAGTACCTCCCAAACCCAGCACCCACCTTCTCCTGGGGGTAGGGCCTTTCCCCACCCCACAATCACCCATGGGGTGGGAGGTTGGGTAGAGCTTGGAAGTTGCCTGCTTCCCCCTCCTGTATACCTCTCTTCCCTCAGCCCTCTCTCAGTACCCTCCAGTCCATGAGAGTGAGGGGTTGGTACAGATTGTGGGTATAGACATCTTAGATTAAGTCCTTCCCTGAGAAAGTTCATGCTATCACTTTCCAAATCTCTCTCTATCCTACTCTAACTTTACGTCTATCTCTATCGCTATCTCTCTGTCTCTATCATCATTAGTTTCTCTATGTTACCTCAACCATGGTGCCATTATCACCTCTAGCTGTAGCCAGGGTACTAAGTCCACCAGATCATAAATTAAAGTACCAAATACAAGACTTGATGATAACAGGCCTATCTAGATGCCAACTGCTTAGAGATAAGATGGGTAAACATCACATGACTAGGAATAACAAGGCACCCCAAACCCTGAGATCCCTATGAGCCCTAATCCATTACAAATTTCTAAAGTGTTGGTCTTGTCAGCCTTGCGGCATCAGGAACCCAGGCTGTGTGAGCACCAAGCACCGGGCCTTGGTGATGATGTGGGGAGAGCTGGTTACCTGTGCTTTGGACTTAGATTTTTGCTCCTGGGACACTGGATGTGATTATTGCCAGTGGGCCAGCCTGAGCCTATCTATGTCCCCAGGTGCCCAAATGTGAACACACACTGGTACTGGGGAGAGACTTGTGAGTTTAGCATCAGCAAGAGCCTTGTGTATGGGGTCGTGGGCACCGTGGTGGCTGTACTGCTGATTGCACTGGTCGTCCTGATCGTCTTACTTGGCCTGTCCCAGAGAAAACTTCACAGGTGAGCTTGTGGGGCCAGCACCACACACAGGCCCAGAGACAGGGGATAGATGGGGAGCAGGAATTCAGAGTGGTCCCCACCTGAATATCCTGAGGCTCTGCTCTCCAGCAGTGGGGGAGGAGCAGCTGAGGCCAGGTGCCTAGCTCCACCCAGCCCTGGGTATGGCAAGGGGCAGCATCCTAATATGATATGTCCACTTGGCAAAGTGTTTTAGTTCGTTTTGTGCTACTATAACAGAATACTACACACTGGGTAATTTATTAACAATAGAAGTTAATTTGGCTCATGGTTCTAGAGGCTGGGAAGTCTGATATTAAGAGGCCACATCTGATGAGGGCTTTCTTGTTGCATCATAACATGGGGTAAGGGAGAGAGAGAGAAAGGGAGCCCAGAACTCACAACCCATTTTTTTCCATGACGATGTTAATCCATTCATCAGGGCCAAGCCCTCAAGATCACACCCTCTTGGGAAAGGTCCCACCTCTCAGTACTGTTGCACTGGGGGTTAAGTTTCCATCACGTGAACTTTGTAGTGCAGAGAAATGGAATCCAAAACTTAAGTACTGAATCAGAAACTTATGAATTGAAATTAGGTTATATAATGAAACTACCTGTGGTTTATTACCACCTGGGCTTCCCCAGAGCAGCACTACCATGCTGGGAATGAGCCATCTGGGTTAGGCTTTCCTCAGCTGTTAAGTGGGGTAAGATGCACCTACCAGGGTTGCTGTGAAGCACCTGGTAGAGTTCCTGGCCCACAGTTAGTGGTCAAAAGCAGCTACTCTGATTCTAGTCCATCTCACAGGTAAAGGAACTGAGGTTCACCCAGGGGAGTGAGGGGCAACCCAGATGGTGGGGTGGCCATGTGATGTTCTTCATCCTCTGTCACCAGCACTGTTGAGAGCAGGGCCCTCTGTGGCTCAGAGCTGTGGCTGTGACAGTCCCTCGTGGGAGCCCCCTGCTCAGCCTCCTTGCCTCTGGCTTTTCATGGTGTTTCTGTTGGCAGGGGAAAGTGCGATGTGTCTCCGGAGTGGAAACAAGAAGATGTTGCTGGCACCTTCCGGAACACAGGCATCTGGGAAGGTACCTCTCATTAGGGCAAGGGGGCAAGCAAGGCCAGAGTGTGGAGGAAGGCAGGGAGGAGCCTGTGGCTGCAGGGGTGACATGGCTGGTGCTGTAGGTGACAGCTTGTTCCACAACTGCTGCAGCTAGGTCCCTGTACCCCCTCTGCTCCTCTGCAGCCCCCAACTCAGACCCTTCCCACGCCTCTGTGCAGGGGAGCAGGGGTAGCTGAGAATGAGATCCTGCCCCAAGAGACCACTCTGGTGGCATCAAGCATGCTTAGTGGGCTGAGAGGGTCACACCCAGGACAGGGAGAGGACAGAAGTGTGCCTGGCCCTACCCAGACAGGGTCAGAAAAGGCCTATGCTGAATCTGCTTCTAGAGCAGGTGAGTAAGCAGGTGTGCTTCCTGCTCTCACACACCCAATAAGGAGGGAAGACTAGGGAAACAGTGGCCCAGGCTGTAGTGGGACATGGCCTGGAGTGGGGGGATGTGCTAGCCTGTGGGGGGCCAGAGGCAGGTCAGTCCCACGAAGAAAGAGGGAGCCGAAGGCTGTGACGGTGGCAGGGCCAGGTCATGGAGGGCCGTGAGGGCCAGAATAGGGTAGAGGCACCCACTGGGTGGCTTTGAGTGGCTCACTCAGGTGGATTTGAGGGTTTAGGGTGTGGGTGGGAAGGGCATAGGAAGCAGCCTGGTGTGGTTTGGGGGTGAGCCTGTCAGGGCTGAGGAAGGGAGGAATGAGGGAGGATTCTAGGGGTGTCTGAGCTGGCCCCTGGGAGAGACAGCAGGTGTGGCTACACTGAGTTGGGGGATGGCGATTGCTCTTGCCTGTCTGAAACCTGGGCAGAGGTCTGTGGCCTGAGGGGACCTGGGAACCATCTTCCCAGCTCCTGGGGCTCTGGATCCATCAGCTGGGTGAGAGATCAGTCAGTCTGTCAGGGAGAATGCAGGAGTGGGATGCAAGGAGGATGAGAAGTGGCCAGGAACCACTGCAGAAGCCTTCAAGGAGGCAGGTGCAAGGTCTGTAGGAGCAAGAAGTGAGTGCTGAGCTCTGGTAGGATGATGGAAGAAACTTTCTAGGCACACCTGCTCTGCCTGCTGTGGTTACAGTTGCCAGAAGGCACTGCCAGCACTCTCTCTGGCCATGGCTTTCAACCTCTCAGCATGTGGTGGGGAGGATTGCCTCTCTGGTCCCTCCTGTGCCTGGGTCACTCTGGGCCGGCAGCCTGGAAGCCCCAGCACCTCAGAAATGAGCTGTGGGGAGTGAGGAGGTACTGGGGAGTACCCCCTTGAGCTCTAGCTGCCTCAGGCTTCATTGCTCAGGTGTCCACCTCTCCCCACAGAAAATAATCTGAAGGAAGACAGATATGGGCTTGAGAACACCTACAGCCAGTTTCGGCCCTCCTTGGGGCATGTGGACCCCACCACAGAGGTGACTCAGCTGGGAGCTTCCCTACCCCCGCGCTCCTCCTCCCCCTAGGGCTACCCCCTCCCCTAGGACTCCCCTCTCCCCCTAGAGCTCCCCCATCATATAGGACTCCCCTTGGCCTTATGTCTTCTCTCCTGTCTCCCAGCTCCACATCCAGAGGCCCAACGTGGTGACGCCTACTCCATGAGGCAGTGGGGCTTCCACCCCTCATCTAGATCTGGATAAGAGAGCCTACCCCCACAGGCTCCCCGCTGGTCAAGAGGAAACCGAAGCCAGGCCCTGAAGCCTTCCTGCTTAGAGCTACAGACTTGGCATATCTTGCTGGTGTCCTCAGGGGAGGGGTGGGGGCTGTGAGCCCCGCCTTCCAGGAGCCCCAAGGCTTCCAGACACCTTGGCTCATTTGCTCCTTGGTGACTCTCTGGTCTGGAATTTTCTTACCAATAAAAGCAAATCTTAAAGTGCAGAATGTGAAGTGAGAGGTTTCCTTCTCCCCACTGCAGTCAGGTAGGGGCTCTTCTGGGGACACCATTCCTTCCAGGGTTAGGTGCCAAATCTGGGCATAGGATGCTCTGGACCCCTTCCTGTGCCTGGCCAGAAGCTCCCTCTCTGCTCCAGCCAGGCAGGACCCATTCCACCTCTGCTGGAGATCTCTGTGGCAGACAAGCCAGGGGTGGGGTCCTGGGGGGCAGTAAGGGGTCTCAGGCCTGAGGAGTGAGGGTTGGGAACCTCCTGATAGCCAAGGAATGAGCACTCGGCTCTGCTGAACTTGGGCAGGGCAGGGTCACTCCAGACGGCTATGGGGTGGCTGTGCTCTCCTCTGAACCTACAGACTCAAGAACTCCCGGCCATTCCAGGCTGGGCACTGGCCGAGGTGTGGTCACGACTTGTACCCATGTCCTGTGGTTCCATGGTGGGGTACCATAGGACAATAATAGGAAGGGCTTAAAAAGAAGGAAGGGGGTTCTTCTTGCCAGGGCTGGGGCCAAGTATAGGGTGCCCCTCTTATCTCCTGCTGGGGCTCAGCCTCTCTTGTCCACTTTCCCCTCCCTCTTGGGGGCGCCTCAGTTCTCCAGGGCTGCTCTGGCCCCTGGGATGCCTTTCTATTGGGGCACTAAGGCTGGCTCTCACATGCCTTTGTGTTTCAGGGAAGGGCCACTCCTCCCTCTGCCCTTTGGCCCAGCAGGTTCAACACCCCCAGTCATGAGGGAAGGTCCCCGACTGACTCAGGTCTGTGCTGGCCCCCTGTTCATTAGTGTCTCAGGGACCAAAGGTCTCAGGGCCCATTTATTTCTGAGTCTCCTTGGCTGATGTTCATTTTGCCTGGTCCTGCAAGAGCGTCACTCCAATGCCAAGGCTGGTGACAATGGCCCTGTGCTTGCTGGTCCTCATCCTCCGGCTACTGACCCCCCATACTGTGGCTGAGCAGAGTAAGTGACCCCACCCTGGGAGAGGGCTGCCACCTGGGCGCTGTCACTGTGGGTCCTCCTGGGAGCTCAGCCTTACCCGACCCAGACTTATCACCTCTTCCTAGTAAGCTCCGGGGGAAGAGCCAGGGCTTTGCACCTCCTCTAAGTTAGCCTCTCTGAGCCTCAGGTTCTTCTCCACAAAGGAAGAATAATAGCGCTTGCTTATCAGGGCTGCCGCTAGGATGAAATGGAATCCCCAGGTTGATCCTAGGCACCCAGTGTGAGGGTCTGTCCTTACCCAGTGAATATTCCCATCAACTCCTTCTTGCCCACCTGACCGCTGCACCAATGCTGGAGTCTTAGAAAATGCAGACCCCTGGCTCAGCACCTGTGGCTCAGGTGGCTAGGGTGCCAGCCACATACACCTAACGTGGCGGATTCGGATCTAGCCTGGGCCAGCCAAACAATGACGGCTGCAACCAAAAAACAGCCAGGCATTGTGGCGGGCGCCTGTGGTCCCAGCTACTTGGGAGGTTGAGACAGGAGACTCACTTGAGCCCAGGAGTTGGAGGTTGCTGTGAGCTGTGATGCTATGGCACTCTACCCAGGG